CAATTTTTCTTTTGTTTGTTAATTATTTATTAATTTTGTATAAAAATATAGCTCATTATCTGACAAGAACCGTATAAATCCAAATTTCAATCTTTGCGAAAAAATTATAAAAATTCTGTAGTTTCACCAAAATTTCAAACTTTTTAAACAGAATCTTTAGATAAAATTTTGGTAGGTAGTTTTAAAGCCCAATCAATTTCAGAATAATGAAGTGCTGGTGCGGAAATGCTAGGACATTTCGTTGATTTTTGATTTTTTTTGTGTAAGGTCTTGCTCATTTTCTTCCATATAAAAACTCATCGAACGTATTTCGTATGGAAGAAAATAAGTGACACCTTCAACAAAAAATGATCAAAAGTCAACGAAATATCCTAGCATTTCCGCACCCCCCACTTCATTATTCTGAAATTGATTGGGCTTTAAAACTACCTACCAAAATTTTATCTAAAGATTCTGTTTAAAAAGTTTGAAATTTTGGTGAAACTACAGAATTTTTATAATTTTTTCGCAAAGATTGAAATTTGGATTTATACGGTTCTTGTCAGATAATGAGCTATATTTTTATACAAAATTAATAAATAATTAACAAACAAAAGAAAAATTGTGAAGTCTTGTTAAAATGTCGCGACCATATGTACATAAATATTTAAATTTATATATACCTAACTTAAAGGGAGGCTCCTATATTATTTCTTGTTGATTGAGCTACAGCAGTATATTGCGATGATGCTACTGATGTTGCATTCATTTCAACCGGCTCCAGTACTTCACACTCAATAATGTGTGTGCTTGCTTTAAAATGAATGCATATATTATGCAACGCACAACACACATATATAATTTTTGCTGCTTTTTCGGGAGTATAGTGCAATTCTCGAGCACCAAGGATACACCTCCACCTGTTCTTCAATACACCATTGGTCCGTTCGATAATGTTGCGACATTTTGCGTGTGCTTCATTGAACCTCATTTGCGTTGAACCTTCCTCCGGAGTTCTATGAGGTGTTAACAGCCACGGTTCCAAAGGGTATCCAGCATCGGCTAATTACAAATAAACCAAAAGTATTAGATACATTTGTACTCAAGTATATAATAAAATAAGGTTACCTAAAAGCCAGAAGTTATTCCCTCCTCGCAAGTACTCCCTTTCAAAACAGGCACGCAAGTCGCTATTCCAAATAAAGGAATCATGGCATGCACCAGGATGGGAAGCATCAACGAACCGAATCCTCATTTCAATGTCACAAAGCTAAAATGTACACATACAGGTCTATTCTGCACGTTACCGAAGATTTTGTAACCGGAAAATTTTATTACCAAAAAATGTTACCAGTTCTTGTCACCGCGATTCTAGGTACGTTGGCAATGCAGTTAAAATATTCAGCAATTCAGCTATGCAGAATTGAGAAAATTCTGGCAATGCATTTTTCACGGGGCAATACTTTGTTACCAGCTTATGAGATGGTAACAAAATTTACCGGTTACAAGAGTACACAGAATGCGAAAAGGGTCTAAAAATTGACAAGAACTTTATTTACCGGTTACAAAATTTTTATTACCAGCTTAGAATAGACCTGATAAGCACAAACATATCGCACACCGTCTTCAAAAGAGGCAAAACTCAAAATTTGGCATTTTTGAAATTATGCGCTAAAAATGGACACAGAGCTTTTATTTAACTTTCAGCAAAAGCAAAATTTTTGTCATAATTTGTTAAAAAAAACCTGAAGTCAATTCTCCCTTGCCCAAATGATTATCGTGTGCTAAGAAACAGTTTTTCTCATTTTCTGATAAACGTGTAATTTTGAGTTGTGACCCTTTTGAAGACGGTGTGCGATATGTAAAGCTGTGGTCAATGAGATAGTATCATAATTCAAAAGGATGTTGTTTGCAACTTATGTACGTTTATTTATTTATTTTCATTTAAAACATAGTTCGTTCAATAACAGAAACCACGTAAATAAAAGTTTCAAAGCTTTCACAAAATTCACAAAAAGTAATCAAGCTAAAAAAAAAATCATTAAAATTTCAACCTTTTTATTCAGTATTTTTAGAAAAGTTTCAAATTGAATGGGCTATAAAACTGCATACTTGAAACTTTTCTAAAAATACTGAATAAAGAGTTTGAAATTTTTATGATTTTTTTTTTAAGTTTGATTAATTTTTATGAACTTTGTGCCAGGTTTGAAACTTTTGTCTATCTTATTGACCGCAGCTGTATATCCGCATTATATAAAACATAAAACAAACAGTAACTTACAAGCATAACGTTTAGGCTGTAGTGACCTTTTCTATTGTAGTAAAGGTGGGCGTTTCGTGGTGGAGCAATTATCCTCACATGGGTACCATCAATGCATCCAACCACACCAGGAATACCATGTTTTGCGTAAAAGGCTAGCGCTATCTTCCGGTTCTCTTCATGGCCTTCGCTCACTTTTATCCACTGTGGGCACAAGTGATTTTCATACAGAGTTAACACTTCTGATAGTACCTTGCTAAAACTGGATTGGGCCAATGCTACATCGGAGTCTTTTCCAACTCCCGTCTGGTACCCGCCTTCAGCAAAAAACCGTAAGCACCCGCTTAATTTTGTTAAGGGGGATACTGCAAAAATCTTTTTTGCAGGCTCTGAAACTGCTATCAGCACGTCCAACAGGTACTTGAATGCGGGTTTGTTCACCCTGTAGTACTTTTCAAACCTATAGTAGTAAGAAAAATACTATTTAAATTGATTCGAGATATAATTTTAACTTACAAAGACTCAGGTAACTCGAAAGGATTCATGTCATCCCTTAGTTGCCTTCGCGCAATTCTTTCGTGCCTAGCTTCCTGCTCCGCCTCTTCTGCTGCTAAACGCAAAGCAATAGAATGCATCTGTAAATCTGTAAAGTAAAAATTTAGGGTTTAATATATTTCCAATTGAAATTATTAAAAAATAGTGCACAGATATAGTATTTTTTATTTGTCTACAAGTGTGTGTCGATGAGCGTTTCCAAAGCTGGAAAATCGACGTGCAATGAACGTTGTCCTTAAACTTTAAACTTTAGTTTAATACTAATATATAAAATTCCCGAGTGCTGGTTCCTTGAATGTAGCAAAGGGTACCCTTATGCTATTTGACCACTTATTTTGGATTATTGTATGGAAACCGGCGATCCAAATCCAAGACTTTTAACTTACACGGGTAGTTAAAAGATTAAACTTTAGTTTAACACTAATATTTAAAGTTCCGGAGCACTAGTTTATTAAAAATGTGGATTCCAAAATTCACTGTGGCAACTGCAGATAGCAAAGGGTACCCTATGCTATTTGACCACTTATTTTGGATTATTGTATGGAAACCGGCGATCCATATCCAAAACTTTTAACTTACACGTGTAGTTAAAAGATTAAACTTTAGTTTAACACTAATATTTAAAGTTCCGGAGCACTAGTTTATTAAATATGTGGATTCCAAAATTCACTGTGGCAACTGCAGATAGCAAAGGGTACCCTATGCTATTTGACCACTTATTTTGGATTATTGTATGGAAACCGGTGATCCAAATCCAAAACTTTTAACTTACGCGTGTAGTTAAAAGAGTAAACTTTAGCTGTATACTAATATTTAATATTCCCGAGCACTAGTTCATTGGTAATGTTGCTTAAAAAATATACACCGGCAACTGGTACCCTTATGCTATTTGACCACTTATTTTGGATTATTGTATGGAAACCGGTGATCCAAATCCAAAACTTTTAACTTACGCGTGTAGTTAAAAGAGTAAACTTTAGCTGTATACTAATATTTAATATTCCCGAGCACTAGTTCATTGGTAATGTTGCTTAAAAAATATACACCGGCAACTGGTACCCTTATGCTATTTGACCACTTATTTTCGTTTATTACGTGAAAACGTGAAAATGAAACTAAAATCTTTCAACTCAAATGTGTAGTTAAAAGAACAAACTTTAATAGAGAACTAATATTTAAATTTCCGGCGCACTAGTTTATTAATAATGCGGATTCCAAAATTCACAGAGGCAACTGGACCTAGCAAAGGGTACTCTTATGCTGTTTGGCCACTTATTTCGGGTTATTACAAGGAAACGCGCGATCTAAATTAAAATCTTTCAACTTACCCGTGTAGTTAAAAGATTGATCTTTAATTTAAACGACAGATTTTAAGTTTCCGCGCACTAATTTACACTTTTACACTTTACGCTTTACACTTTTATGTGAAAAAAACTTGTATGTGCAAATTAAATAGCGAGAGTTGAGCTGTCAAAAAACTGTCAAACCACTCTTCGAAAGTTCGAATTTCCTGCTCCCGAATTTTCTGGGAAACTGGTGCTCTCTGGCAGTTTCGAATAGGAGGATTTTATTTTCGAGAAAAGTAAAATCCGCGAGAAATTAAATCCTCGGGAATATTCAGAATTGGGCTGATAGACTTTGCCCGGTTGTGCCGTCAAAACCGTATNTGGTCAAAAGTTTGCGGTTGTGTTTCGCAAAACCGCTGTTTATATAGACTTTGCCCGGTTGTGCCGACAAAACCGTAGCTGAGAGAGAGAGTTACGTTTCGCACGTCAGTAAAATTGTTAAGTACGCTTTCCTGCAAAGTCAAAATTCTTGATGCTGTATGGTTCAGTAAATTTTGTAAGCTTACTTCTGCAACGGTTTCGGTAACGCTTATTTCTTTGGGTCTGCACTTTGACTTAGCTTCTAAAATACTGCCGTAGCTTGGAAATATATCAGAGTTCTGTTGTATGTTTAAAGATCTAATGCTATTGTATTGTCTTTTTGTAAAAGAATTCTCAATTATGAAAGCAAAAGCTTCATCTGCTGTAAGAGGGATTGTAGTTTTTGAAGCCAACTTATCCTTTATCTTTGATTTATCTGAAGTATTTAACGTCTTATTTAAAATAAATGCGGTGTCTTTTTCTCTCGACTTTTTTGCTGAAACTGCAGCAGCGTGAACGAGAAGTGAAGTACTGTGCTCTCTCGACAAATCTGTAGCAAATTTTCTTTTTAATCGTGATCCTCCTTCT